ATAACAACGATTGTGAAGATGGCGCAGGACCGGGCAGTGTTTTATTCTGTTGTACACAGGGTCACTGTGAGTCAGAACTGACTTGACAGCGCCTAACAACAACGACAACAACAACATAGCGATCAAAGTTTATTAGTGGTTAGCAGGGGTAGGCATACCAAACAACCAAACCCACTGCCACTCATAGTGACCCTGTAGGACAAAGTAGACTGCCCCACAGGGTCTCCAAGGCTGTAAATCTTCACAGAAGCAGATTGCCACATCTTTCTTCAGTGGCACAGCTGGTAGGTTGGAACCACCGACCTTTTGGTTAGCAGCCAAGCCCTTTAACCGCTGCGTTACCAGGGCTTCTCCTGGGGCAGGAGGGAAAGGGAAAAGAGGAATCATTGTTTAGGAAGCATTGAGTATCTGTTAATGATAATGGAAATTTTGGTAACAGATGTGAATGATGGTCATTGAGTTATACATGTAAAAAATATTGAGTTGGCAAATGTGTTATATATATATTTTTCCACAATTAAAAAAAAGTATTTTTAGAAATTTTGGATGGTTTGAATGAGACTGATGCTCTGGTCAGGGTGGGGAGGAGGGACATGAAGATGCATTAAAATAGAATCAGTCACAGTCTTAGGGACTGAGTGACCCCTTGCACAGTGGACATCTTCTGGAGTGAAACTCTTCCTTTCTACATGGAGGGCAGTTTATAGGGTGGACTTTCTTGATCTCCAAGGAGATTTTAGCCCCTAAAAAAGCTTTGGGGCCAAAAGGGATCATGCTGTCATAAATAATTAAGACCAACACTGATCTTTAAATACTCCAGCACAAAACACACACACACACACACACACACACACAAATATAAAATAAATTAATTGGGGGATAATAGATGATATAAGAATGGTGGAAATGTCATTAATGTGTGTTGAAACTGGTAGATGGATATATGGGTGATCATTGTACTATTCATTCTACTTTGGTGTGTGTTTGAAAATTACCATCAAAACAAAAAACCCTATCTTAGGTGAAAGGAAGGACAGCACACATTACAGGGGAAGTCAGCACAACTGGACTAAACCAAAGCTAAGAAGTTTCCTGAATACAATAAAACAGTTCGAGGGACAGAGTAGCAGGGGTGGGGGTCTGGGGACCGTGCTTTCAGGGGACATCTAGGTCAACTGGCATAACAAAGTTTATTAAGAAAATGTCCTGCATCCTACTTTGGTGAGTGGCACCTGGGGTCTTCAAAGCTTGCAAGCGGCCATCTAAGATGCATCAATTGGTCCCAACCACCTGGAGGAAAGGAGAATGAAGAACACCAAAGACACAAGGAAAGTGTTAGCCCAAGAGACAGAAAAGGCCACATAAACCAGAGACTTCATCAGCCTGAGACCAGAAGAACTAGATGGTGCCCGGCTACCACCAATGACCGCCCTGATAGGGAACACAACAGAGAGTCCCTGATGGAGCAGGAGAAAGGTGGGGTGCAGAACTCAAATTCTGGTAAAAAGACCAGACTTAATGGTCTGACTGAGACTGGAGGAACCACGGAAATCATGGCCCCATGACTATCAGCCCAGATCTAAAACAATTTCTGATACCAACTCTTCAGACAAAGATTGGACTGGACTATGGGACATAAAATGATACTCGTGAAGAGTGTGTCTCTTAGCTCAAGTAGATACATGAGACGAAACGGGCAGCTTCTGTCCTGAGGTGAGATGAGAAGGCAGAGAGGATTAGGAGCTGGTTGAATGGACATGGGAAATCAGGGGTGGAATGAAGAGTGCGCTGTCACAGTATAGGGAGAGCAATTAGGGTCACATAACAATGCATGTGTAAATTTTTGTATAACAGACTAACTTGAAATGTAAACTTTCACTTAAACTATGACAATAAACAAAAACCAAAATAAACAAACAAACAAAAAACCCTCACATATTGGAGCTATTAAATGGTGCTCTCTGGGAGAATTACACACCAAAATTATAAGTAACAATTTTTTTTATTGTGGTGAAAATATACATAACAAAACATACACCAGCTCAACAATTTCTACATGTACAATTCAGTGACACTGATTACATTTTTCAGGCTGTGTAACTATTCTCGCTGCTATCCTTTTCCAGATCATCCCACCACCATTAACAAACTCAATGCCCCCTAAGCAAAAACTCCCTCTTCCCCACCCCCATCCCTGGTAACCACTAATAATCTTTGGTTTCCATACATTTGCTTATTGCATATAAGTGAGACCATACAGTATTTGTCTTTTTTGACTGACTTATTTCACTTAGCATAATGTTTTCAAGGTTCATCTATGTTGTGGCGTGCATGCGGATTTCATTTCTCTTTATGGCTGAGTAATAGTCCATTGTGTATATATGTCACATTTGGTTTATCCATTCATCTGTTGATGGACATTTCAGTTGTTTCCACCTTTTGGCTCTTGTGAATAGTGCTGCAGTGAATATTGGTGTACAGACTTCTGTTTGTATTCCAGCCTTCACTTCTTCTAGGTTTATACCTAGGATTGGGATTGCTGAGTCATATGGTAGTTCTATGTTCAACTTTTTGATGAACCGCCAAACTGTTTTCCACAGTGGCTGTATCATTTTACATTCCATCAGCAATGGATGAGCGTTCCAGTGTCTCCACAGCCCCGCCAACACCTATTGTTTTCCCTTTTTTTCTTGATCATTGCCATTCTAATAGGGGTTAGGTTGTCATTCTAAGTAACCAGTTTTTGATTACTAATAAACAATCATGGACTGCGGATGATTTAATCCATCAAATTTTCCAATTTCAGACGCCAGATGGCGCAGTGGGAGATGCTGCAGAATCTCGATAGCCCGTTTCAGGAGCAGCTACACCAGCTCTACTCAAATAGTCCTCTGCCGGTGGACATTCGACAGTACTTGGCTGCGTGGATTGAAGATCAGAACTGGTGAGGCCTTCAGGAAATTGGGGAGTGGGGTGGGAAAGGTGATTTCTTTCTTCTGAGTCCCCAGGATCCTGGAGACACCAAGGGCAGGAGGGGGTTGGGGGGCCTCAGGACAGCAGAAAGTTTGCAGGGACACTAATCTTTGTCCTTCTTGGTCCCCAGGCGGGAGGCTGCACTGGGCAATGATGATTCCAAGGCTAACATGCTCTTCTTCCACTTCTTGGACCAACTGAGCTATAAATGTGGCCCCTGCAGTGAGGACCCTGAGTGCTTGTTGCTACAGCACAACTTGCGAAAATTCGCTCGGGACATCCAGGTACTTGGAAGAGCTGAGAATAACAGGGCAGCAGTGGGATCTCAGTATAGAGGAGTAAGAGTTGGGATATGGAACAGAACGTGGAGATGCAAAGGGAGGGGGACAGGTCTGCGGGAAGGGGGCAGAGTCTGGACTTGGGGGATCACTGGCAGAGAGAAGGGAGGAGTCTAAGTGACCCGTTGGGAGGGGGCCAGGGTTGGGGGGGGGGCCAGTGGTGAAAGAGGAAAGGTCTGGGGACTCTGAGGGAGGGTCCTGGGGATACTGGTGGGAAGTACTGTGGATATTGGTGGGGAGAGTCTAGGGTTGTCGGTCATTAAATGTAGCTGAATTGGATCAGTCCTTTCCCTTATCCTACTTTAGGCATTTTCCAAGGGTCCTGCCCAGTTGGCTGAGATGATCTTTAATCTCCTTCTGGAAGAAGAAAGAATTCTGATCCAGGCTCAGAGGGCTCAGTCGGTGAGAAAAGTTTGGTGGTAATGTTGGGAGCTCCTGGAGTAGAAGGGTTCCATGGAAAGGTCTGAGGGAATTTGTCTCAGAACAGGGTCCTCCCACATCCTGTAGTGTAATTTCAGAGATGAAAGATCAGAGCTGAAATATTGTAAAAAAAATTTGCTGAGGAGTCAGTTTCGACTCAGGGTGACCCCATATATGCAGAGTAGAACTGCATTCCACAGAATTTTCAAGGCTGTGACATTTTGGAAGCAGATCACCAGGCCTGTCTTCTGAGGCACCTCTGCGTGGGTTCGGACCGCCAACCTTTTGGTTGGTAATAGAGCACTTAACCTTTTGTGCCACCCAGGCACTCCAAAATGTGCTCAGAGCCCCTTATTTCAGGACCAAAAAGAGCCAGCCCTCGATGCACCTGTGGAGAGCCAGCAGCATGAGATTGAATCTCGGATCCTGGAATTAAGAGCTATGATGGAGGTTGGTAGATAGGGCAAGAGTTGGGGTGGGCAGGGCTCAGCCCCATTTCCTCCCACAGAAGCAGCCTTACCTGGGTCCCTTCCCCTCTACAGAAGCTGGTGAAGTCCATCAGCCAACTGAAAGACCAGCAGGATGTCTTCTGCTTCCGATACAAGACTCAGACCCCAGGTAGGAAGCACACTGAGGGGTGGGAGAAAGAAGAGTGCCTGCTGGGAGGCCAAGGGTGGAAGAGAACAGAAGGGAAGAGCTCCTGTGAGCTTACTGGCTACAGTCCAGCTGCCATGCTAAACTGGAAGTGCCAGGGTATGTGGTGGGGGCTAGGGACCGTTAGTGAGAGTTGAAGGAGATGTGTGGAGACTGCCTTAGCAGACTGAGTGGGCTTCTGGTGCAAGCCTAGAGATGCCTGTGCTTTGCTTGGTTTCTCCTTCTCCCTCCAAAATTCCCCACTTCTGACTCTGGCCGAGCTGGATGAGACCCCAGTCAGGAAGGAAAGAGACTCAAGCCCTGGGTTTGAGCACTGGTCTGACTCCTGCTTCTTGCCATTTAGTGAGGACACCCTCTCTGGACCACCATCAGGCCAGACAGCAGCAGCTTCTGCAGGAAACTATCAATGAACTGGACAAAAGGAGGAAGGTAGGAGGCCAGGGACAGAGGGCATGGGCAGCCGGGTACTAGGAAAACGAGGGATCTGGGAGCCCTGCCCTCTTAGCCTTGGCTGCTCTATCTCCTCATCCCCAGTTGGGTAGTAGAGGGAGATGGTGAGAAGTGCTCACCGCTCACATTATCTCTTTCCTAGGAGGTGCTTGATGCCGTCAAAGCCCTGCTGGGCCGGTTAACTACCCTAATCGAGCTACTGCTGCCACAGTTGGAGGAGTGGAAAGTCCAGCAGCAAAAAGCCTGCATTGGAGCCCCCCTGGACCGTGGGTTGGAACAGCTGGAGAAGTGGTAAGAGGCACCTCCCATGCCCATGCTCACCCCAGCCCTGGCCCTCCCCTAGGCTTTGTAAGTTGTAATGTTCTGTGTACATCAAGAGCTATTGCTCTCCTCAGCCTCTGTTTCCAAGCACAACCTTAGCTCCCCCGTCTTACTGCAGCTATACTCTGTAGCATATTCTCACCCCTCAGGGAACCCAGAGCCACTTTGTGAAAGTGATGGGTTAGCTCTCAATCTGATTTCTCCTTCCTTTTAAATCACCTGAGAAATATTTTCTACTTTTTTTACTGCAATGAATATAATGCAAAAAAAAAAAAAAAAATTACGTAGTATCTTACTACTCAGATATAGCTACTGTAATATTATTAACAAAAATTGAATCATGCTGTTTATACTGCTTAGAAGTCTATGGACTTTTTTTTTTAACTTAGAAATATAATGTTTTGCCATGTACTTTTAATGGCTATATAATAGTCCCCTATATGGAAGTATGGAAGAAAGGCCTGGCAATCTGCTTCCATAAAAAACCCCTGCTTCCTAGCAAACCTTATGGGGTAGTTCTACTCTGTAACACAAGGGGTCACCATGAATTGGAATTGACTCAATGGCAACAGGTTTTATTTTTTTGGTTTTATAGACCGTATTCAGTGCTCGGAGCTCTGATGGCGAAGTGGCTAAGAGCTTAGGCTGCTAACCAAAAGGCTGGCAGTTCGCATCCACCAGCCGCTCTCTGGAAACCCTATGGGGTAGTTCTACCCTGTTCTGTAGGGTCGCTATGAGTATGAATCAACTCAATGGCACACAACAACTGTAATTCAGTGCTTAGGAGCCCTAGCTGCGCAGTATTTAAGCGAGTGCTCAGCGCTAATCGAAACAACCCAGCAGCCACGTCGTTGGAGAAAGATGTGGCAGTCTGCTTCCGTAAAGATTTACAGCCTTTAAAACCCTATGGGGCAGTTCTCCTCTGTCCTATAGGGTCGCTATGAGTCAGATTTGATTTGATGGCAGTGGGTTATATGAAGTAACATAATTTAATTAATGAATTTGTATTTTTGGACATTTAGGCTGTCTTCAATTTCTTGCTATTTTTTTCCTATAAATGATTTTATGTTAATTTTATTGTGATTTGGAAAAAGTATATCCTTCAGCATGCTTGAAAAGTATCTACTCTTTAAAATATTTTGTTGTGAGAAAATTCACTGTAATTTAAACTTTTAAAAAAAAATTACAACTCTTCAGGTAAATTTAAAAAACAGGTTTATAGGACTTAGGATCAACATTTAAATTGCAGTTGTAAACATATCTATCGTCTGCTACAAGGGCCGGCAAACTCCAACCTATGAGTGATTTCTTGCTATTTTCAGCAGTGCTGCAGTAAATATCCTCATAGCTACATCTTTATTTACATCCTTAATTATTTCCTTAATATAAATCCCCAGAAGTAGTATTCCTGAGTTAAAGCATGTACACTTTTTCTTGTTGGTGGTGACATGGTTACTGCATTGATCTTTTGTTTCATTTTTTTTTTTTTAATGGAAAGAGCTTTATTGCTTTTTCTGATAATAAATATGATGTATATTCATCGGAAGGAAGTTCAGACAACTTAAAAGAAGAAAACAAAAACCACCTATAATCCCTACAGCGGGAGTGCTCCTTAGGTGTGAGGATGGCAAGACTTTGTCTCAGGTACTCTGGACATGTTATCAGGAGGGACCAGTCCCTGGAGAAGGACAGCATGCTTGGCAAAGTAGGTCAGTGAAAAAGAGGAAGACCCTCAACGAGATGGATTGACACAGTGGCTGCCACAATGGGCTCAAACATTATAATGATCGTAAGGATGGTGCAGGACTGGGCAGTGTTTGTTTCTGTTATACGTACCGTCGCTATGGGTCGGAACCAACTCGACAGCCCCTAACAACAACAACAGACATAAAAATTAGCTATTATGTTAATCTTTTATCAGTTTTATATATTAAAATGGCTTTGATGTTTTTTTCTTAGATTATGAATCATGTTGAACAATCTTTCATATGCTTCCTGGATTCTTTTTTTTCGCCCCAGTGGGTTTCCAACTCTCCACATGGTTAAAGGAGAGCCCTTGGGGCCTACACTGGGGCTCCAGGAAACTCATCAATTCTCTCTCCTTTGGGCTCTATCACCCAGGTTCACAAATGGAGCAAAGCTGTTGTTTCATTTGCGGCAGCAGCTGAAGGAGTTGAAGGGACTGAGTCGCATGGTTAGCTATCTTGACGACCCTCTGACCAAAGGGGTAGACTTGCGGGAAGCCCAGGTCACAGAGTTGCTACAGCGTCTGCTCCAAAGGTCTGGAGCCAGGAAGGGACCTCTGGGGAGGGACAGAGGGAATGGACGAGGGGAGCCATTCTTGCGGATCCTGAGCTGTGTATTCTCTCCACACCTGTCTCTCCAGTGCCTTTGTGGTAGAAACCCAGCCCTGCATGCCCCAAACTCCCCATCGACCCCTCATCGTCAAGACTGGGAACAAGTTCAGCGTCCGAACAAGGTTGGCATTCCAGAACTCCTTCACTGCTTCCCTCTTCCAACCCTGGGCACTGTGTGTTTTCTGCCTTCGCAGAATTTCCTACTCTTGGCCTTTTTTTCTCCCTTTTCTCCTCCATCCACCTGCCTCTTCAAATTCCTTCTCTTAGCTTTTTCAAACACCTGAACTGTCTAGATTGAGGTTGATCACTCTCTCCCCCATCCGCCTCCCTCCCCCGCAGGTTGCTGGTGAGACTCCAGGAAGGTAATGAGTCACTAACAGTGGAAGTCTCCATTGACAGGTAAGTCAGGGCAGGTGAAAGGTGGGACCAAGGGACGGTCTGGACATGGGCTGGTGGGATGGAGGAAGTACCCACTCTTCACAGCAGGGCCCTGGGGCCCTCTTCTTCCCCTTTTCGTTCCTACTTATAGAAATAACTCATCCCTTTTGTTGGACACTTGCTATGTGACATGCAACATGTCAAGTCCTCATTCACTTGTCACGCTACCCCATGCATTAGGTATTATTAGTGCCCTGTGCAAGCAAGGAAGCAAACTCAGAGAGGTGATGTCTCTTGCACAAGGCCACATAGCTAGTGAACTGCAGAGCTGGGTTTGACCCAGGTCTTTCTGATCCCAAACACCAAATTCCTAACCTCTACACGATTTCATTTCTCAATAATTTTTTTTTTTTTTTTGTATTTCTTTTCAGGAATCCCCCTCAAATACAAGGGTAGGTGCCTGACAAGGATGCTGTCGATAACTGTGTCCTGCATGACCTGCACAAGCACACGTGGCAGCCCCTGAGGGAGCACAAACATGGAGGAGGGGGGATTCAGATAGGATGTGGACAAAGGGAGAAGGGGAGGTCTGGAATGAAGTGGGACTGTTACTGTTTTCCTGCTGGGTCTTCAGTATAACTCTGTTTCTGTCCTCCATATGTCTTCTTCCTCCTGGAGCAGCTTCCGGAAGTTTAACCTTCTGACTTCAAACCAGAAAACCTTGACCCCCGAGAAGGGGCAGAGGCAGGGCTTAATTTGGGACTTCGGATTCTTGGTAAAAAGGGTTAATAGCTTAGACTTCTAGTCCAAGGGAACAGGGGCTGGGGAAAGTTCCCAGGCCTTGGGAGGTCTTGAGGGCAAAACAGGGGTTCCAGGGACCCTGAAGTCCTCATTTTGGCATTGTCTCTCCTCCCTCTCAATTCATAGACTCTGGTGGAGCAACGTTCAAGTGGTTCAGGAAAGGGCAGCAATAAGGTGAGGTCTGGACAGAGGATTGGGGGGCAGAAGGGATTTGCCATAGGGCCCTTTGATCACTGTGTCCTCGGCTATCCCAGGGGCCACTCAGTGTGACAGAAGAACTGCATATCATCAGCTTCACAGTCAAATACACCTACCAGGGTCTGAAGCAGGAGCTGAAAGTGAGTGAGAATGGAGGGCAGGGAGAGATGAAGCCGATTTGGGAGAAGGCACAAGAAGGGGATAAATAGAAACCTCGGTCTGGGTGGGACATCACCGCTTGCCCCCAACCAAAATGTCTGCAGCTAGAAACATCGGATCTTTCCCCGTGACTCCTGTCTCCTCCCCAGACGGACACCCTCCCTGTGGTGGTTATTTCTAACATGAACCAACTCTCGATTGCCTGGGCCTCGGTTCTCTGGTTCAATCTGCTCAGCAAAAACCCCCAGGTAGGAGGTAGGGAAGAGACTGCCACCAGAGGAGAGTGAGGAGGAAGGGTGTGGAAGCTTGGTGTGAAGGGGCTGCTTCTGAGCCATCCTCCCCGCCTTATACCCCTGCAGAACCAGCAGTTCTTCTCCAGCCCCCCCGCAGCCCCCTGGAGCTTGCTGGGCCCTGCTCTCAGTTGGCAGTTCTCTTCCTACATTGGCCGAGGCCTCAAACCAGAGCAGCTGAGCATGCTGAGGGACAAGTTGTTTGGTACAGATTTCTTTTTTGCTCAGCCTCTCCCCAGCCCTTGTCTCCTCGGCCCTCTGACTCCTATCTATCCCAGGATCCCTCGCCTTGCCTCCTCCTATCACCTGAACCATCTGTGGTGATCTGTCCCACAGGGCAGAACTCTAAGACGGAGTGTGCATTGTCCTGGTCTGACTTCACTAAGGTAACTCCCTGCAGCTAGGTTTAGCCTTCAACCACAATACTGACCCTTTCCCCCTCACTCCTTCCCCACACCAGGGGCAATTCCACATCTCTTCCTGTCTTGCCCTTCCTCCTTCAGCGAGAAAGCCCCCCTGGCAAGCTACCGTTTTGGACATGGCTGGACAAAATTCTGGACCTGGTACATGACCATCTGAAGGATCTCTGGAATGATGAGTAAGGCCTTGGTCAGCCCTCCCCGGCATGCCTAGCTGCCTCCCTGGGCTGGGGATGGACTCCATGTGCCCTCATGTGGCGAACAAGGAGAGACAAAACTGGTACAAGATCACACCCCCTCACATTTGTAATAATCATAGTCAGTAGGTGTAACCAGCATTTGTCAACCACCTGCTGTGTTCCAGAGCCTGCTGGGTGCTCTCCATGAGTTCTCTCATTTAATCTTTACAACCACCCTCATTTCCAAGTGAGGAAACCAAGGCTGAGAGAAGTTAAAGAACTTACCTAAGGGGCAAAGTTGGGACTCAAACCCAGGCCTGTCTGACTCCCAGCCTGTGTTCTTTCCGCCACACCGCCTGCAGATCTGTACAGAATTAGAATATACATAGAATTGTATTAGGTGCTTTTCATCTACATGATCTCACCGAATCCTCACACGTCTTTGAAACCTGGGAGATGAGTATTGTCTGAAAAGTAACGTGGCTTGGCCAAGATGGAACAGTTTACAAGTGACAAAACCAGGGCCAAAACCTGGCACTCTCTCCATCTGCAAGGGGAACAGGGGGACAGGGAAGCAGGAAGGCCTCACAGCTGCTTTCTGTTCTCTAGCCGCATCATGGGCTTTGTGAGCCGGAGCCAGGAGCGCCGGCTGCTGAAGAAGACCATCTCTGGCACTTTCCTATTGCGCTTCAGTGAAACGTCGGAAGGGGGCATTACCTGCTCCTGGGTGGAGCACCGGGACGATGGTCAGACTCACAGCTGCCCTGCCCTGCTGTTCCCACAGCCTCTTCCTTCTGCCTGGCTCACCTCTTGTCCCTCTGCCTCCTCTTGGCTTCCCTGACCCTGTCCTGAATCCCTCAGCAGCTCTGGGGTTGGGCAGCCAGGATGGGGAGCCCCCAGGCCCAGCCTCGCCCCTCCAGCCTCCCTGTCCATGCCTACATTTTGCAGATAAGGTGCTGATCTACTCTGTGCAGCCTTACACCAAGGAGGTGCTGCAGTCAGTCCCGCTAACCGAAATCATCCACCACTACCAGCTGCTCACTGAGGAGAACGTACCTGAGAACCCACTGCGCTTCCTCTACCCCCGAATCCCCCGGGATGAGGCTTTTGGGCGCTACTACCAGGAGAAAGGTGGGAATCATTGACAGACTTCACTGCTAGATTTCAGGAATCCTGAGGTGTCCACAGATCCAACTCCTTCTTGCAAAGACGGGGAAACCAATGTGCAGAAGAGTTAAGGGATTTGTCCATGGGGCACTGCTAGTTAAAAGGGAGATAAGACTTCCGAGACCGTGTGCATTAATCTCCTGGGCCCGGGGCTCTGTGTTTAACCCACTGATCGCCTTGGCCCTCTGTGTGTGTCCTCCACAGTCAATCTTCAGGAACGGAGGAAATACCTGAAACATAGGCTCATCATGGTTTCTAACAGGTGAGATACGAACGCCTTGACCATCTTTCCTAACCCTTTTTTGGCTTATATAGTGACTCTAACCCGCCCAATTCCAGTGTCTTCAGTCCTCTGTTCTACTCACCTACCCTCTCCAGCCGCCTAGTTTTTTTCCCTAGTCTTCTAGTCTCTCTCCTTTCCCATATTTTCCGCTGCCATCCTTAGGTTGTCTCCACCGATGTTAATGGGCACCTGTTGGATGCCAAGCATGGTACTAGGTTTTTAAAAAATATTTTTTTCATTTAATTCTATGACAGCTCATCAGAATAGGTAATGATGATAATAATAAGAAGAAGAAGGACAACCACACTTATTGCAAGTTTATTATGTGCCAGGCACACTGGACTAAATGCTCCATGTTCATTTGTTCGATATTGAATCTTTACAACAGTCCTGTGAAGTAGACACTGTTATTGTTGTTTTCAGCTGAGGAAGCTGAGGTTGAAAGTGGTGAAGTGGGGCGCCGAAGGTACCTGGCTAATAAACGATCCAGGTCCATCAGACTCCAAAGCCCTGCTTTTCACCATCCTATACTGCCTCTCAAGTACTATTAACTATTTTTGTTCTCATTTTACAGATGATAAGGCTCAGAGAAGTTAGGTAACCTGCCTGTGGTCACCCAGCTAGTAAATGATAGAATTCAAACTCTGGCAAATCTGATTCCAAAGCTCATGCTCTTAAGCCCTCTGCTCTGCGGACTTCACTAGACTAGAGACAGCCTCTGCTTGCTCTACCATTCCCCACTTCACCTGAACCACTAAGCCCTGTCCTTTTATCTGTCTTGGGGTATCCAGACAGGTGGATGAGCTGCAACAACCACTGGAGCCTAAGCTGGAGCCAGGACAGGAATCATTAGACCTGGGGCTGGCACTAGAGCCAGATCTTGGGCTGAGCCTGGAGTTGGGGTCACTGATGGACGCAGGACTGGATCTGGGGCCAGCACTGGAGCCTGTGCTGGAGCCCACACTAGCCATGGGACCACAAACAGTGCCAGAGCCAAATCTGGAACCCGAGCTGGAGTCCATTCTAGAGTCCATATCACAGCCGGTGCCAGAGCCAGATTTGCCCCAGGATCTAAAACACTTGAACATTAAGGAAATGGAAAGTAAGTGATAAGATGGGGCTAGGGAAGAAGGGGCCCATCCCTTTCCCAGCTCCCTTCCCTTCTCCTATTTAAGAAAAGGCTGTGCTCCAAGCTTCCCATTGGAGAGAGGCCCATTTTTCTGGTGATTCCTTTTACAAGGAAATGCACAGACTTCCCTCCCTCCATGCCTCATTGTCCCTCCACCCCTTGTATGCTTCCCTGGGCCCTGTCCAGGGCTCTCAGGCCATCTGCCCTCACTTTCCCTGCTGGGTTGGTAACTCCTTGCCTGAGATCAGGACCTGATTTTCCTCTCTGGACCACCTAGTCTTCAGAAACTCTTCTATGAAGATTGAAGAAATCATGATAAATGGTGACCCACCGTTGCCTGGCCCGAGCACCATGGATGAAGTTTACAGCTTCTGTCCCAGCCATTTCCACACGGATGGACGCTGGAGTCCTTGTGACTTCTAGGAACTACATTTCCTCTGTTCTTTTCCCTATTTCTTGCCCCTCATGCCACCCACATTTCCATGTTCCTCTCCAGTGATGGGAAATCTGGCATGTGCCCCTTCTAAACTAGGAAAACCCTGGGATTTTGGGTGAGAGATGAAAGCGTGACATGGATGGAAGGGCACCAACCAGTCAGAATCCTGGCCGTAGCTCTCAACAAGATCCTGGAGGCTGCCTCCTGTGCTGGGGAGGTGTCGGGGGGAGGCCCGGGGCGAGCCAGGATAGTTGGGGAGTACTTGGAGGGCTCAGGGAAGTGGCTGTTTTCCAGTACAGAAGGATTTCAACTTTTTAATAGCTGGTAAAGTAAAATTAGGAGCCCTGTTGGCATAGTGGGTAAGTGCTCGGCTGCTAATCAAAGGGTCAGTGGTTCCAATCCACCAACTGCTCCTTGGGAGACAGATATGACAGCCTGCTCCCGTAAAGACTGCAGCCTTGGAAACACTATGGGACAATTGTACTGTGTCCTGTAGGGTCACTATGAGTTGGAATTGACTCAGCAGCACTGCATTTGGTTTGGTTTAAAGCAAAATTAGCACACACTGGCATTGCATCCCCTCAATGGGGAGGGAGACGCATGATAGGACTCCATTTCTCTCTTGTGGCTCCTTCATATCTAGGATAACCTTGTCCTTTCTTCTTCCCCTTACTCCTGACTCAAGTGCTAAATTTCTTCTTGTCCCACAGGGGCTGAGAGCTTTCTGCCTCACCCCACCATGTGATGCTCCACCCTGAAGAAGGGGATAGGAGGTAGACCCCCTTCTTGCCAGTCTCCTCCATTGCCCTCACCCCCAGCCTGAGCTAGCTGCACCCATCCCTCCCCTATAAACATGCTGCAACCAGACATGCTTGTGAAGCTTTGCACACTAACTTATACTGCCTGGTCTGAACTTCCCCTGTGCTGAAGAGACAGATCACTCCTGGAGGCCAGACATGGTAGGGTTGCTGGGAATTTAAGAATTGCTTTTTATAGGATTAGAGTTCTGTATTTTTACAGAGGAAAATAAGTTCTAGCTATTAAGATATCATCCACTTTATTTTGCACAATGTAGTCCTTACCTGAAAGGAGGGTATCTGCCCCTTGGGTGTGGACCTGGGCAGAGACCAAGTTCCTGGCACTTACAACGTTATAAAGGTTTATTATGGGACTCTAGACAACCTCACACCTCAGCCATGCCCAGGGAATCCCAGGGGACAACCGCCATTGTTCAAATGTGCTGCAGGTGTAACTTGAGATAGAGGCCCTGTGCATGTGGCTGTGTCCTCCCTGCAGTGTCAGAGGAACAGTCCTGTTCAGAAAGGGGCCTTTCCGAGCAGAAGTGACTAATAAACATTACCAACCCAGAAGCATTTCACCTTTGAACTCCTTTACTTCTCTGCTCACGAAGACTCACGTCCTTTGGGACACCAGCAGGCTGTGTAGGGACAAGGTCAGCAAATTTTATAGCCTCTCTTCCACCCATTCCAGTATGCCCCTCTGGTCATGTTTCTTCTGTCTTCCCTCCCCTGTTTAGGGCAGCCCTTCCTGTCCCTTAGACTCTTCTAGGGGAGGCTTTGAGCTATACAGCTGTTGGGGGGAGCACGGGTATTTCTATAACTAGCCCATTGTCACTCAGCTGGTTGGTGACAAAGCCGAGACACGAGCCTGGGTCTGCCTGACTCCAAAGCCCATGCCCTTAACCCTGCTGCGACTATGGAGAAAAGGAAAGGAAACAATCACTAGCCCCTTCCTCCCCTCTTCCTTTCAAAGACAGTTTAGTCAGCATCTTGGGTAGCCAAACTCCCTTCTGAAGGGGCCTGCAGATGTCGTTCTTTAATGGAGAATCCTATTGGTTTGGAGGATTTACCTTCATCTTCCTAGAATGCCCTTCTTGCTCAAAACAGAGCTCTGACTTTTGCTCCTGCAGTGATCCAGGCCACATATACTCTTGGTCCAGAATGTAAAGAAGGAGGCACTGAGTCAGGGATCAAGTGAGGGGCCACATCCACGGGCCCCACAGCCTAGTCTCAACCTCCTGCAATCCCACTCTGCTTGCTTAGCTATTCAGGGATTAATTCCAAAAAGATCCCAGGTACCATGCTATACACACAAGACTCATAAGAAAATATCACTCTCCACCATCGCCCTTCAGAGTAGGAGAAAGGGATACATACTGTAGTCCCTTGGCCCCACTTTTCCATAATGTTTCTTTCTCCCAACCAAACCTAGAAATTAGACCCAGATGTCCACATAAATAAATCTTTATTGAAAAAAGTGCATAATTCAGTATAAATATAATAAATAATCCTCCTCCCAGGGGGATAAATAAATGTTCCCTTCCCATCTAATAAATACTCAACCTTGTCATAGGTCAGCATCATAAATTAGTATTAGCTCTTCAACATATACGAGTCCCATTAGAATTAATGGGCTAATTGTTGGCTCATAGGTTGCTGGGGTGATAGATTGACCTTGCCATTGCTGAGCCATGGAGACCTGGGTACCATTCTTAAGCTGTTAGCTTTAGGGGCTCAGAGTTGCTGCTCCATGGGCAAAGACCCGGGCGGCTACAGCCACAAAGGCCTGGAGGCTACGAAGGATCTTGAGGCGCAGAAGGAGGCGCTGCCACGGCAGGCTGGGACTGGGGGTTGGAGTCAGCTTAGTCTCCCTGTGGTGACCCTCAGGCTGAAAGGACACAGGACACAGTCAAAAAGGACTCTAGATCCTTAACGCTCCCAGGCCCTGTCTCTGACAGCCACAAGCCCCTATCCTCCAGGCCCCCAGTTCATACCTGCAGGAGTTGGCTGAGGCCCAGTAAGGAGGCATGAAGCTGGCCCACAGGGCCATCAGGTAGTAGAGAAGGCTCCCCTGTGAAAATGTCTGAGCCTAGCAGCTTCTCATAAAAAATCAGGCCCTGGTGGATTCTTTGCAAGCAGAACTAGGGAGAGAAGAAAGCCGTAAAAGAAGGTGAATATCTTCTTCCTATTCAATTCACTGAAGACCCACCCAGTTCTCCTTTAGCATTCTCAGACACAACTTCTACTAGTTCACTATGGTACCCAGCCATGTCCCCAGTCACCTCCTCCTGGTGGCCGAGCCCCATCTTAGTGGTACCTGACTATTGTCTCTGAGTCCTTGGGGGTCGCAGCCATCCCGACACTGGATATAGGGGACATCGTTTGTAGTCTCATCACCTCCCTCTTCTCTTGGGACATCCTGGAATGGAGGAGGGGGTGGAAAGAGTAAAACAAAGTTGGTACTTTCAAATCCCAGCTGGACCCTCAGGTCCATGACTCTCCCAGGAACCCCCCCAGTTTTGTCCCCTCTCACTCCTTGATAGTCTTAAACCCTTCAGCTTCCACCCAAGGCCTCAGAGTCTCCCACTGCAGCCTTGGAGGACGTGGAGAGGCTCCTATTTGGTCCCCAGAGCTGCCACTCACCACGTGTCCTATCGGTGGATGTGCACTCCAGGCCAGGGTGCAGAGCTTCTGGGAGAGCTGCTGGCCCTGAGCCCAGGCAGGGCTGCTGCTCCCAGGCACAGCCCGGCCCTGAGCGGTCCAGAGCAGCAGCAACAGCAGCATCGCCGCTCTACTTCCCAGCAGCATCTCGGAACCTGCTTCTCAAATCTGGCTGGCTCCGTGCCTGACACCAGTTCTTGGGGAATCCGTCCGCTTCCTCCTGTTTGAGCCTGATTCTCTGTTCTGTGCGCCTCTGGTTTGGTCACTGTTGTTCTTTCTGAGCTGCTTCCTGTTGCTTTTCTCCTTTTGTCTCTGAGTCTCGTTTTAAGGTCCCTGCATTGTATGACCCGCCCTTTATACTAGCAGGTGACTCACAGCAGGTGGGATTTCCCTCTCTGCATCATCCCCCTTCGTGGGGAGCCCAGGTATGCAGCCTCAGTTCCAGGGGAAATGAGTGGTTTGGTTGCTGTGGCTGGAGGCCTGGGATGGGACATATGTGTAATGCTCTCCAGGAATCAGAATGGCTGTAGAAGGGGTGGGGGATGGGAGTGTTGAATATTTAAATTAATCTGGTCCCAAGTTCCTTCCTGTTTAACCTTTCCCTGATCTTACCGGGTCGCTCTGAGTTGGAATTGACTTGAGAGCCACGGGTTTTTGCCTCTCAAAGCTACACCCCACTTGATCCCTTATTTTCTCACCTCCCCGCTGAGGAAAAACAAAGAGAAGCATTCATTCATCTCCCAATGCAATGACAAGCTCAGTTCAGAATGAAGATGTTTGGTTCCCACCTGATGCCCCCTATCTCAGAATAAAAAAAAAAAACAACAAAAAACCCTAAACCCGGTGACACTGAGTCCATTCTAATTCATGACAACCCCGTGTGTTACAGAGGAGAACTGCTCCATAGGGGTTTTTTGGCCGTAATCTTTACGGAAGCAGATTTCCAGGCCTTTCTTCTATAGCACCGCTGGGTGGGTTCAAACTGCCAATCTCTAGGTTAGTAGTAGTCAGCACAAATTGTTTGCGCCACTCGGGGATCTGATGTCAGAATAAGGGGTTTATTTTTCTCTGTTGGGAACAGTGTTATTTTCACTGGGTGGCTCTGGTTTCATAGGAGAGAATGGATGCGAACGCACTTTGTGAACTGGGAAGGCATGTAAGTGCTGTATAAGGTATTACTGCTCCCCCACTTCAGGTCTCACTGTGGAGGTTAGAAGCGTTACAGAGAGAGGGTTGTTGTTAAGAAGCACCTGCTTCCTCAATTCTAGTGGCCCAAGGTTTCTGATACTTTGGGGGCTCCAGGATAAGCAGGGGCTAGAAGTCCAACTCAGACATTCCAGCACCCAGCCCCTACCCTATGGCTAGGAAGAACAGGAGTTCTGGGTAGGTGAAGGTGCACAGTGCCAGTGACCCAGCCTGGTCTTTCAGCCTGTTGCACCCGTGGGTAAAATCCGCTGACACTGATTTCATCACCCTCCCTGATGCAACATCCAGTGAAACAGCTGAGAGCGTGAGGTTGGGCATGGGAGTGGAGGGTGGTCCAAAGCTGGGACTGCCCCGACCCCTGTGGAGGGTCCCAGGACAATTTGGACGTCAGGATGAGGCCATGGGTGACCACACAGCTGGCCCCTAAAGCCTCCCCTTTTCCTCTGAGAACCTTGCCTTTGAAGGGGGTCTCCCTTCTCTTAGAACTATTCAAAACTGCCTAACGAAACCTCTGGTTCAAATATTAGGACTCTGTGGTAAACCCATCCTTTGGATGAAACATATTTCCAGCATCAGAGAGGTTATCTAAGTTTGAGTGAGAAATGGTTTACCACCCACCTCGGTAGAACAGACACAGTGGGATAAGGAAATAGGAGGGAGTAGGGTAGGGGAGCTCACCTTACTTATATATAATGTCTCTTATGCTCTTCCCACCTCTGGTTCCTATTCTGGGAGCCCGAAAGGATAGGTGATGAAAGGTGAAGAGGAGGAGGAGGAGGAGGAGGAGGAAGTAGAACCCTGGGCTAAGAGGGACAAGGGTGAGTTGGAGGCATGGGACTCTGCCGCTTTGTTTCACTTCCTGGTGCTGAGGGCGTTGGATAGGAAGCCGGGTTGGTGGGGCAACTGTGGGACTGTTGTGTTGCAGGAACTACTTCCAGGGCTGCATCTGACCTGGAGCTACAAGGAGCCTTTGACGTCAGCTGGGCCTCAACCGTTATGCAAATCACATTTGCAAGACACTCCTAAGCAAACCTTTAACAGTTAGATGTCCAGACTCCAAACCCAGGTGAAGTTTCCCCCGACAGTTAATGACAATGACTTATATATATATATATATATACACACACATAATATATATAAGAAGAACCCTCAACGAGATGGATGGACAGTGGCTGCAACGATGGGCTCAAGCATAATGATTGTGAGGATGGCACAGGACTGGGCAGTGTTTCCTTCTGTTGTACATAGAGTGGCTATAAGTTGGAACTGATTCTACAGCACCTAACAACAATATATATCCAACTCTCACTTTATGCCAAGTACTTGGTTTAAGCACTTTACATTTACAACCCATTTAATTCTCACAACCACCCTGTAAGATAGGTACTATTATCATCCACGTATTACAGGTAAAGAAACTGAGATGCAGAGATAAATAATTTGCCCAAGATCACACAGCTACTAAGTGGCCAGAATCCCAGTGCAGACAATCTGGCTTCAGAGCCTGCATTCTTAATCACCGCATTATACTGGGTACTGTGAGGAGAGGCAAGTGTTATCTGTGACATATCATTAGCCACTAGAGAAAAGCAAATCAAAACTACAATGAGATATCATCTCACCCAAACAAGGCTGGCACTAATCCAAAAACACAAAATAATAAGTGTTGGAGAAGATGTGGAGAGACCGGAACACTTACGCACTTGCTGGTGGGAATGTAAAATGGTACAACCGCTTTGGAAACTATTTGGCACTTCCTTAAAAAGCTAGAAATACCATACAATCCAGCAATCCCACTCCTAGGAATATATCCTAGAGAAATAAGAGCCACCACACAAATAGACATATACACACCCATGTTCATTGCAGCATTGTTCACAATAGCAAAAAGGTGGAAGCAACCTAGGTGCCCATCAACAGATGAAAGGATAAACAAATTATGGTACATACACACAATGGAATACTATGCAACAATAAAGAACAATGATGAATCCGCAAAACATCTCACAACATGGATTAATCTGGACGGCATTATACTGAGTGAAATTAATCAGTCACAAAAGGACAAATATTATATGTGACCACTATTATAAGAACTCAAGAAAAGGCTTACACACAGAAGAAAGCATTCTTTGATGGTTACAAGGGTGGGGAGGGAGGGAGAGGGGAATTCACTAAGTAGACAAGGATCAACTTTGGTGAAGGGAAGGACAACACACAGTATAGGGGAAGTCAGCACAACTGGACCAAAGCAAAAGCTAAGAAGTTTCCTGTACACATCCAAACACTTTGAGAGACAGAGTAGATGGGGCTGGGGCCTGGGGACCATAGTTTTGGGGGACATCTAGGTTAACTGGCATAACAAAGTTTATTAAGACAATGTTCTGCATCCCACTTTGGTGAGGGGCATCTGGGGTCTTAAAAGCTTTCAAGGGGCCATCTAAGATACATCAATTTGTTCCATTCCACTTGGAGCAAAGGAGAATGAAGAACACCAAAGACACAAGGAAAATATTAGCCCAAGAGACTAAAGGTCCATATAAACCAGAGACTCTGTCAGCTTGAGACCAGAACTCGATGGAGCTTGGCTACCACCAATGATTGCCCTGACAGGGAATACAACAGAGAGTCCCTGATGGAGCGGGAGAAAAGTGTGGAGCAGAACTCAAGGTTACATAAAAAGACCAGACTTAACTGTCTGACAGAGACTGGAGGAACCCTCCAGAACTATGGACCCTGTATGCTCTGTTAACCCAGAACTGAAACTGTTCCCGAAGCCCACTCTTCAAAGATTAGACAGCACTATAAAACAAAAAATAATACACGAGAAGTGTGCTTCTTAGTTCAATCAGATACATGAGACCAAATGGGCGGCTCCCATTGGAAGGCAGGATAAGAAGGCAGGAAAGGACTGGAACTCATTGAATGGACACAGGGAACCCAGGGTGGAAAGGGGGAGTGTGCTGTCACCTTGTGGGGATTGCAACTAATGTCACAAAACAATGTGTATATATTTTTGTATGAGAAATTAACTTGAGCTGTAAACTTTCACCTAAAGCACAATTAAAAAAAAAAAAAGTATCTGTGACTTATAAAGTAGCTCATTTGGTACAGGTATCTCAGGGTACCTCAGGTTCTGTAACTCTCACGGGTCTGTGTACTCTTTCTCAATTTGAGACCACTATATAGAAATTTCTCAGAGTGTAGGAACCATGTAGATCTCTCAACATCCACCTTGTGAGGTTTTAAATCAGGAACCTGTAAAGTCAGATCAGTTTGAGAAATCCTCTAAGTTAAGGTGTTTTTCTCAGTCTAGGACCTCTGACTGAAGTCTAGGAGCCCCCTGAGTCCTGGAAGTCTAAATTCTGGTGTCCTTTTATGAAGATCTACCAGCCTTTATTGAATGAGAGAAATGCTTTAAAACTGTATCCTCTATGAGGAAAGAATTCTCCCACCAGATTCCCTCTATGTGGTTTCCAGAAACAGTAGTTAATAACTGAGTTAAAGTGCCCCGGAGACATCTCACATCCTGGATCCCTTCCAAAGCAGTTCCAGCTCACAGCTAGACACCAAGAATCCACATGAGTTTTGGGGAAGGCATATGTTTCAATTTGCCTCGTTTATCCCCTTCTAGCGGATAACGTCCAGCCTCAAAGAGCGAGGGTAATTTGCCAGCTTCAGGGGCCTGTTCCCGGGGCCTCGGGGCAGGTACAATCACAGTGCGGGAGTTTCGGACGGATGCCTTCATAAGAATCCTAGAAGATGCAACCACTTGGGCCGTGTCAAGCGCCTGGCTCCCGCTTCCTTTTTTCTCTCCGTATCTGGAAACGATAGGAAATGCCAGTGAGTTTCGGGGGCAACAGGGTCAGAGGTGGCGGGTGGCTCACAAGAGCACGGCGCGAAGAGGGGGTGGAATAGACCATGCTGGGAATACCCAGCAGTCGAGTCCCCGTGCTTTGCCCGTGGGCGCCCCTTTATTCTAGTTTCTAGAGTTATGAAAAAAACAAACCCGTTGCCATCGAGTCGATTCCGACTCAGCGACTCTACAGGACACAGTAGAACTGCCCCATAGGGTTTTCAAGGAGCCGAGCTCTTAACATGGCACCACCAGGGCTCCTCTAGAGTTATAGGAGCCTAAAAGTTCAGTGTCCAAGTTTGGAGCTCTCTTATTTTGTTCAACAAAGGCTTAAAACTGAAGGGGCTTCTTTTTACAACACCA